TGTGGGGGGGGGTTATCGCAGCCTGCTCCTCTGCCTGCCTGCCGCTGCGCTCTGCCTCTATCCACACAACTTTTCCCCGCCTTTCAGAGACTTATTGCTGGGTCAAACTCTAAGTTACAAACTGTACACATTGCATTCTTTCTAATTAGCCAAAATATGAACGGAATAAGTAGCAAGCATCGTAACAAACAGAGTAAANATAATTTGTGACCAAACCGTTTGAGACCCACTGAGATAACTTAGACTAAAGTTAACTATCTAAACACTCAGAGAGTCCTTTAGCTCACCTGAGCCTCTCTGAGAGGCTCAGGTGAGCTAAAGGACTCTCTGAGTGTTTAGATAGTTAACTTTAGTCTAAGTTATCTCAGTGGGTCTCAAACGGTTTGGTCACAAATTATTCAAAAGATTATTTCCGAGGCACACCTTGATATGACCATTATAGTTAAAAAATAAGAGAATAAAGGAAAAACAGTTATGAAATACTATATGGTAGTAAAACAAGAATACAGTTTGAAAGGGGAGTGATTTGTAAAATATCCATAAAGAAAAAGAACATCTGCTTACAGTTGTGTTTCATCTGGGTGTTGAGAGATGTATCCATAGATCTCTTAATGTTGCTCTCAAAGTGCACCAGATTGATGCTTTTAACTTCAATATTTAAAAATTCTTCCCGGGGGATCATCCCCCCGGACCCCCCTAGAGGAGGTGAGGTCCGCTCCCCACTCGTAAAAAATAGCACTTTACCCCTGCCTATATACCGTGAGCTGATTATCGAGCCTTCATTGTAACAGTCGCGGGTGTTCTGTGTGCTTGCGTGTGGAGAGTGCTTTTGTGCGTGCTCTATAGTGCCCGTAATAGTGTTCACTGGAGTCCAGCACCTCAGCACCCCCACTCAAAATACCTTCCCGCGCCTCTGGCAACAGAGCATATTTAAGAACATCAAAGTGTGTATGTGGACAAAGTTAAAAAAGACTACCGACATAACAAAAAGGAGAGTCAAATTAGCATGATTAATAACCATAAAACCTTGCTGCAGGACTTTTCAGCACTGCAGCAGCGAGTCCTAAAAACCTGGAATTAGCTCCAGCTGGTGACAAAAGATTTGAAACCAAGCCAATGCATAATTTAAGATTTCAAAATCCGATGTTATTTTAGCTACCTATACTTACCTAAGGACCGCAAGGGTAAGTTAGAGCATTTAATGTGCCCCCATTTTGATCATAATGTTCTCTTTTTTCCATTCAGCAGATGAAATTCCATTATACCATTAACTTAAAGTGGACCTATTATGCTATATTTGAAAAATATATTGTAGGGCCATACCTATACAAAACATGTCTATGTTTTTTGCTTAAAATACCAAACAGATCACCCATTGTAGCCATGCCTCATACTGCTCATAGGCCTACCCCTCTATTCCAGCCCTGTGCCAAACAGGCTGATTCTGCTTTAAAGGTCCCATGTCATGCTTTTCCGGTTATTACCCGTCCCCTTGTGTGTTATGTAGCGTTTTCTGCATGTAAACGGTCTGCAAAGTCACAAACCCTCAAAGTAAAACTCTAACACAGAAAATAACTGTCTATGCTGCCCCAGAACGCCTCGATGGAGATTACTCTTGACCGAACCAAGTCCGCGTTTCGCTGCATTCCTCTCCAGTTATAACGCCGCACTCCGCTGCCGGGACGGCAGAGCTAGCCCCCTGCGGCTCCGTTAGCTCCGGCGGCGGACTCCGGCGGCCACCACTGGGATAATTGGGTCCCCTTTAAACATTTGCTCCAGTTTAGCTTTATGGGCGTCATATAGAGT